ATAAAGCAGCCAGCCAGGGGCTCAGCAGGTACCTTCCCCTGGTTGCTCATTGCCCCTGAGGATTGTCAGGGGTCCCCTCTGGTTCCCTCTGACACCAGAACTGTTAAAAGATAAACTGGGGCATACTAACAATTTCAAGAGTTTATACGAGCAAAAATCAATTCAGATCAGGCAGCAAGCACATAACCAGAAGTGGTTGGGAGCTCTCCACCAACACCAGCTCTGGGAGAAGCTTTTATAGAGAAAGGGCATGATTGGCTCTGGCTTAAAGCCTAGTTGGCTGTTGTGATTGGTTGTCCTCAGTGCTGTGATTCTGTAACCTGAAGCATTTGCCAGCTTACATTTTGGGTTGCTTTTATAGACTGCCCCAACATGAGAGCCACCTCACGCCAATGGCCTCCTTGTTTAATTAATTTAACACCCATAAACTTAAGTAAAGTGTTTTCAAGAGCTCTCCAATCATTCTAGTGAACACTGAACCTGAGAGGGGTCATGCTTTTGTAGACTGCCCCAACATGAGAACCCCCAGTTCTGTAGTTGCTCAGGAAGAAGTGTGAGTAGCCTGGGCACCCTGTTGTTGGCTGGTGTCTTCTGGGACTGAGCCCTTAACCTATGGGTTCTGTCTAAATTCTGTGTAGATAGTGTCTGAATTGAGTTGAATTTAGTGGTGTTGGAGGGTTGGTGGGTGTTGGAAAAAACCTCAGAGAGAAGCCTACAAGCTGTCAGAGCAGGTGGCCGGTTTCCCCTCCTCTAAGGAGCACCACTTGCTGTCTGTGAGAGCCTGTAACTCTCCTCTTGGGCTAAGAAGCTTTCATTTCTCCCCGGCTAGGTCTCAGGAGCAGGAGGCGTGGCACTCAAGATGGCAGCTTCACTCATTTTATAGAGAAAAGAATCTGTTTTGAGCTTCACCTCTGGAATAGCACCAGGTTGCAGGTCTTGGTGTTTAATTCTTTCAGACCCCATTCAGCATCACCAAGAGCCGGACAGGTTCTAGTGCCACTCTGAGGATACCAGGTTGCAGTTCTTGGTGTATAATTCTTTCAGACCCCATTCAGTATCACCAAGAGCCGGACAGGTTCTAGTGCCAGTTGTAGTGTCAATCCCACCATCTTCCTTTTTAAATCCTCAAATCTCAAAGGATCTGATTGATTATATTCCCTTCTTCAAACAACATGGGATACCAATCTCCTTCCAAAAGAGAATTTAGTGTTGAAACAGCCAGGGGCAATATGCAAACAAGTAGGCGTGGCTATGTCCCAGCAAAACAACGTTCTTCACAAATGCAGGCAGCCAGCAGATTTGACCTGTGGACTGTAGATTGCCAGCCTCAGATTTACACAGAAGCCCAAATGACTGCCTTTGTGCCTTTCTGATTATTTGGGGCTTTCTGGGGCTTTGTCTACTTTAATTTATTTTAGTATGCAATATGTTAGTCATAAAGTACCGCTCAGTTAAAATTCTGTGTATTTACTGAACTCTGTTTTTCTCCCCCTACCCTTATATGTGTGTACTTGGAAAAAAGAATGTAGTTCCTTAGTTGCTATTTGAGTTTATTAGCACAGCAGCTATAAAATGCAAATAAAAAAGGCAATTGGTTATTCTTAATGATTGTCCTCATCCTAGTTAACAGATCCTGGAAACGCTTATGTAGAACTTCAAAACACCACTGGTAGTCACAGCAATGTATTAGGTTCCATCAGGGATAACTGCATTTTAAAATTCTGTTCCATGTAATTTAAGAGTACAGTGGAATCTCGGTTCTCGAACTCACTGCATTCCAGAAGGCTGTTCCACAAGCCATTTGTGCGAAAACTGAATCATTTTTTCCCATTAGAAATAATGTAAATTGAATTAATCTGTTACAGATCCCCAAATGATTCTGTTTTAACCTTTCTTATACTCAGTACATGGTACTGTTTAATCTATAAACACTTGTTTTCTTAAATTTATCGAACCACTCCCTACTAGCCTGAAACTATCACTGCCTCCAAAATGCTATCATTGGCTAACTGCTTTTCCTTTATCTCATCAACAGTTTTTCTACCTACTCAATTGCCTGGGATTGTTGTTTTGTGAGCACTTTCACACCCTTAGCAACATTAGCATTCTTGATGACCTCTTTGTTTTAAAATTCTGCTAATTATAGATTTCCCCGGCAATAAAAGCATTCTCTTCTTCGTTGCCTGAGAGATGCTTTTTGTCATGCTGAGGTATCAGCATGAAAGGGTTGTCAGGTTGAAAACTAAAGTTTTGATCCACAAGGGAGACAATTTTTCTGTGAACAACTTGGGTGAGAATCAAATTGTTCTGGATGGAAGACATTTGAGAATCAAGGTTTGACTGAATAAGACCTCTCTTGTCCAGCTGGTGTTGCTTAGTGGTTAAGCGTCGACCTATGAACCTGGAGGTCACAGTTCGATTCCCAGTTAGGGCACAAGCCTGGGTTGCAGGCTCCATCCTCAGTAGTGGGTGTGCAGAAGGCTGACGATAGATAATTCTCATCATTGAGGTCTCTCTCTCTCTCTCTCTCTCTCTCTCTCTCTCTCCTTTCCTCTCTGAAGTCAATAAAAATATATTTTTAAATAAAGTAAGTCTTTTATGAGTATGTCTATGAAAATGTCTCTTAAAGCAAGTCAGAGCATACCCCAACCTTTTCAGGACCTCTGTTCAAAAGCTGCTTAAACATTTAATGAATGCTTAGCTAAGTCATGAGATTGCAGAATGAGACACTTCTGTCCTTCAGAAGTTGGACAGATGCTCTGAGTTGTGATGTTTTTGCCAACTTGGGCTGGCGCTTATGTGCGTCTCATGACTGAAACACGTGCAAACATGCATTTGATAAATGCTTGTTTGAAGCAGAAGGTAAATTGGCAGAAGTAGTCTTGGTCTCAGATGCTCCCAGTTAAGGTGCTGGGCCTGCTCTAAGTTCAGTGAATAACTCAAGGCAAATCGCAACTTTCTTGATCTCAATTTCCTCATCTCTCAAATAAACAAACAGGACCAGATGTATTCCTTGAACACCCCGTTTGAGCAATGTATTCTACCAAAACTCAGAGTGACCGTCATTTATTACCCACCTAACATTAATAGTGTTTCTCAACTATTTCTTCAGTATTATCTGCTAAGGAGTATTTTTTAGACTTTTTTTTTTTTCCTGATGGCAGCTCCCCTCCTCCACCATGTAACTGAGGAGACAAAAGGAAGCTAGGTAGTGTTAGGTCGCCAAAGGATGACACGTGAGGCCAGCCCAGTGAGGAGTCAGCGGCTTTTCAAGGACTTTTGGCGGGCTTTTTTTCTGGGTGGAGACTCCTTTATGCATACCAGAAGGGGAGATAATGGAATGTGATCACCGCAAGTGAAATGTGGTCTCAGCGAGAGGGATGTCCATAGTGAAATGACCTGAAAAGCCAGTTCCTCGGGGAGGGTATCAACTCAATTGCTCCATCAAACCTAACAGCAGTGAGCCTCTTTGGGAACCAGGTGAGAGCTCAGGCCTGTACCAGGAGTGGAGTCACTGGCCACTGGATGCGCACCTCCCAGTTTCTCTTGAGCGGGACCTCTAAGTCCATAGGCAAGTGGTAGAAGGTCCAGTTTCCTCTGATGGTTCCCAGCACTTAATCTGGTGAGGATGTGGCAAAGAACTAAAAAAACTTGCATTTCTTCTATGATGAGAGAGATTATTCATCCTTTTGATCGAAGAGATTGGTCACTTGTCAGATGATCTTTCTAAAACTCTCCTGTTGGCCTGGCCCCTGTGGCTCAGTTGGTTGGATGTCCTCCCCTGC